GAGGAAGTGCTCCAATTAAACAAAGACAAACTTCAGGACTCACTTCCTGGCAGGCAAGGGCCCCAAACTCAGGAGGGCCCCGAGTTCAGTTCAGTTCTTTCTGTTGGCTTCTCAAAGTTATTAATAAGTATTTTCACAAGGAAGAATTTCCATGTTTTCATTTTCCACTGGGCTCCCCCAAATTATGTAGCCAGTCCCAACTATTTTCCCTAACAAAAGGGAAATTCAGACCTTAGGCAAAGGCTTGGAGTCCTAGAGGGGAACTTGAAATGGAAAGATGGGATATAAAATAGGTAAAAATAAAATAAAAAATACTACTTTATTGTCATAAGAAAACCAAGTCTGTTGTGCTGACCAAGAGTCCACAGGTTTCCAAGGCATTTTGAAGTTGCCTGCCTACCTTATTTCTCCATGGACATCACACTTAGATTTTTATGCTCCTTTACTCTGCAAAATCAACCCCAAACACACACACACACACACACACACACACACACACACACACACACACACACACACACACACACACACACACACACTTAGAACCACATAACCATAGACCACATGTCAAAGCCACACTGCAGAATCACTTTGTACTGGTTTTCACCCCATGTCCCAACTGTTGAGAAATCACTTTCCTATCTTGTGTTTGTCTTTTTCTTCACAACCACAAATACCACCCAGTTCCATAACAAAACCATCATTTGAATTATTATTATTTTATTTTATTTTTTTGCCAGTCGTGGAGCTTGAACTCTGGGCCTGGGTGCTCTCCCTAAGCTCCTGTTGCTCAAGGCTAGTACTTGAGCCACAGTGCTACTTCCAGCTTTATCTGTAACTAATTGGAAAATAACATCTCAGGGATTTTCCTACCTGGGCTGGCGTCAAACTGTGATCCTCAGATCTCAGCCTCCTAAGTAGCTAGGATTATAGATGTGAGCCTCTGGCACCTGGTTTGAATTCTCCTTTTGGAGATACTTCGTTCTATTTCTTTTAGCACCATCAACATTTTGATTTTCATTAGGACTGGCTTGATAACTTATAAAAAGAAAATATAAGTCTCTTATTCAAAACTTAATAAAAACATTCAGGCAACAAGAACAAGAACAATTAAATCAAGCATGGGGGGTCCGTCTGAAGTGTAAGACTCACATGACTGAAAAGCTAAAACCCATAAAATTGACCCTGATTCTCATTGGCCAGGATTGAGAAAGACAGTCACTCATTCCTTAACCAACCACTGTTAAGTAGGTTGATGAATTCGGCGTCAGATTCACACTAGTTCCCGGGAACTAGGATAAATTCTTCTTCCCTGAGTCACATGTTATCTGAAGGCACAGATATGTAAGTGAAATCAAGCTTGTTCTGCTTCATCATATATGACATATCCTGACTGAGATGGGTGAGCTTTTCATTAGAAGATCCTCTAGAGGGTAACACAGGCTCTTTATGGCCTGGAAGAGTGATTCAAGTCTGGCTTCATCTCAATTCCTAGCCTTACATAACCTGCAAACCACCTTTCTGCTGCCAAGTTTTCCTGTAGGGTCATCAAAGATGATAATACTATTTTTATCCTCTTGCTGACAATCATATAATTACAGACCAAGACCAAGAGTAAAATAAAGAAAAACTCAACAGAAAAAAGTGAGAATAACATGTAGCAGCAAAAAAAATCATACATTCATGCTAAGAAGTTATAAGATTATTAGATTAACAAATTCATTATGCTACACAATAAGAGTTGGGATTTGTAAATGGATTTTTAAATGAGGGGAGTAGTTAATGTTTGATGATGTAAAATACAGTTTGGGGCAGAAGACAAGGATTTGTAAGCAATGGTGCACAATTCTCAAACAGGAATGTTTGGAAACAGAGTAGACAATTTTCAAAGGCCAGATGAGTTTGCTTGATTAGCGCAGATTGTGAAAGTCACTTGAAAGTATTTTTGTATTAAAGAAAATAATAAACTATGCCTCAGAAAGTCATCACTGGGAAGTTAGACCTAATTCAGAAGACAATGATAGAAGTTCAGAAGTTATACATGAACTATGGCTTGTTTCAAAGTATTTTGACTCATTCTACAGCTGTCCCAAGTCTTGTTCAGACCTTAAGAATAAGCTCAAGTTCTACCACTGAAAAAATGCTTTCCTTATTTTCCATCAGCTCTCACTCCAAGCAGACATCAAAGAAAGAGAATGGCCCTTCTACATAAACTGTGTATCTTGTGAACTGGAATTATCCATTGTAATAGTTTGAATATTAAGTAGCCCTCACAGGCTTATTAGTTGCCAGCTGGCAGTGATATTTAGTTAGTTAGTTAGTTAGTTTTTGGTCTGTTGTGGAGCTTGTGCTAGGGGCCTGGACATTGACCCTGAGATTCTATTTTATTTATTTATTTATTTATCTTTCTATCCATTTATTTATGTTCAAAGTCATTGCTCTACCACTTTGAGCCACAGGACCATTTTTTATTTTCTTGTGGTTAATTAGAGATAAGAAGAATTCAATCACAGGGGAGTGTGACTTTGAAGGTGTATTTGGTTGCCAGTTACTTTCTGTATTTTTATTTCCTGTCCATTATGAGATGCAGAAGCTCCTTCAACAGACACTCTCAGTCATGATATTCTCCTCACACGCATAAGGACATCAGCAGTGGACTGAATCCTCTGAAATCATGAGCAAAAAAAATCCCTCACCACCTTAAGTTGTTCCTCATAGGTATTTAATTTCAGTAATGAGAAAGTCTGGATAACAAAGAATATTGTTATCAGGAATTGAGTCATTACTGTGAATAAATCTGCGCACATAATTCTTAAGCCTTTGAAATTGGTTTTCTGAAGAAATTTGGAAAACATGTGGAGAAATTAGCTCTACAAAGCCTAGGATGCTGTAATCAGAGCAGGCTGACTCTGGGGCTTACATCATGAAATCATATGTCCCAGACTGGCAACATGGTACTATAGGACTAGTGTTTTCTATGTTTTGGTCTTCCCCTTGCTAGTCTCCCATTCTTACATTTCTGAATGGGAATATTTAACCTGTTCCATTGTATCTTGGAACTATGTTACTTGGTTTTTGTTTTGTTTTGTTTTGTAAGGGCTCATGGACCTGGATTAAATGTGATTTCTAGAATGTGTGTCCCAGAGGGCATGTATTTAAAGGTTATACCTGTTTCCTTCTTCATTTCTTTTTCTTTATCTCCCATCTCCCACGAAGTTAAGAAAAAAAACCTTTACCACATGTTCCTGCCACTGTGATACTTTGCCCTAGTCCACGAAAGAAGCAACCATGGACTGCATTCTTTGAAGCCAAGAGCCAAAATAAGCTTTTCCTCCTTTAAGATGTTCCTCTCAGATGCTTGATCATAGAAACAAGAAAATGTGACTAACATGTTGACTTTATTTCCTCTTACTCACTGGAGAGTAAATTTGATGCCAGAAATTCTGCCTTCTTCATAACTTTGGTGACTTGATAACAACTTGACATATAATAAGTAAATACTCAGAAATGATTATTGAAACAATCAGTTCAGAAGATACATAAGAACAATGCCTGATACCCTTCTGTAAATTTAATGGCAAAAGAAATACAAGAATATTTTGGAGGGTAAGGGGGGTATAGAAATGGAGGGACAGAGGGTAAACAAATGCAACTGCAGTACTCAGTAGCGATTGTGTTGAAAATGAACTATACAATTTGTGGGTGAGGATGGGTAGGAAAGACTGGGAGAGAGTGAGGGAAGGGGTGACATTGTCCAAAAGAAATGTGCTGTTTAAGTGATAGGTAGGTAGGTAGGTAGGTAGGTAGGTAGATAGATAGATAGATAGATAGATAGATAGATAGATAGATAGATAGATAGATAGATAGATAGATAATTTATTGTCATTGTCCTAGTAGGGGCATCATCATATTACATGTTGATGAGCAGCAGTTGAATGCTGTCAGAGATCACTTGAATATTTCTTTCCTTGAGACACGGAGTGATAGTTAATTATGGATGCTTCTAATCTCCCCTCTGTGGAATCAAGACAGTCAGCACAGTGGTAAAGCTTTCTACCCAACCTCATGAATCACCTACATTCTCCCTTCTAAGTCTCCCTTAGTTACTTTACCATGGCTATATCCCAGAGTTGTCTTCCCAATATTTGAATACTTATTTTTTCTGTCTTCTGGAAATCTTTGCGATTCAAGTTTATTCCATAATGACATACGATCAGTAAATGTTTCGTAAGAAAATTTGGCCCACAAACCAGACATAAATGAGATTCAGAAATGTGAGAGGTTATTCTGAGTAATGTATGGGATCATTTATAAATATGCACAACACCAGAGGAATAGTAATACATCTACACAGACATCCATATCTCCATATTGCTGCTGGAAACCAAAGCCCAGGCCTTCAAAAGATACTTCAGTGTTGCTTTAGAAATGCTTCTACAGGAAAGTAGAAAAGTTGAGGGTTTTCTTGATTCTTCTTTAACATTTTTTTCTTTTAATTTGGTTTTTCTCTTTATGCTAGCATGTAGTTGGAAATATGGGTGTCTGGGAAGGAAGTTTGATCATACACTTTCCCTGAATTAACCTTCTTTACTAAGCTAGATTTTCTCATAATGAGATTTTGGCATTAAAATTTTTCCTTCTCTCCTGCAAAATTAAAAACCAGGAAATGACAGATAAATTGCAACATCTTTAGGAAATTAGTTACTCTTATTTAAGATTAGATTACATAACCACAATTTATTTGCCTCATTGTTCTAGGTACATGGTCATCAGTAGCAGTGTGGTGGGGGGAGAAACCTTAATATGTAGAAAATGTGCTGTGTTGAGTTATGACACTGGTGTCAAATTAGATTGCAACAGCAATGTAATGCAACAAAACATTAGGTAGGAATGTATATACAAATGATCATAACTATCATACCTCTCTGTGCTATTGTTCTCAATATAATTTAAATTAGTTTTACTGGACCAGAGATTTTAAAATAATCTTAAAGACATACTTTGAATTTCAATGATCTTCTGTAAAGAAGCGACAGCATTCATGTTTGGGGATTGATGGAGAGTGTCCTCAGCAAGCGGCTCTAGCTGCAAGAAGAGTAGATAAGAATATGAGCAGAATGTTGTGACTGATAGTATCTCAGAAGCAAAGCAAATTGAAAAGCTTACTCCTCAGGACAAGCCTGCCCCAGGAACAGTGAAATTATTTTGCTCATATCAGTTCTGGAAGTGTAGCCAGTCTTATTTTCTGTTATGCACCCATGTAATTAAATTCCAAGGGGCTTTTCTATTGGTCATGAAATTAATCTACGAAGTCCCTGAAGCAGGTGCATGTCTGTGTATTAGTCATTTAAAATCTGAGTTATTTGTGTAATTTGTGTAGGTTCTTCACAAACCAAATTCCATCATGTCTGTATGCACAGCTGGGCCCTGCGAACAAAATCTCAGGGACGTTTTGGAAACCATCAGCAGATTATTCATACTTTGGAAGTGTTCTTTCCATCCAACCACCTTACAAATTCGAACACTATAGTGGTAAACCATGAGACAGCTGCTCTTATCCATTGAATAAAGTAATAGAAAAAAAAATCAAAGCTAAAGGTAAAATAACTGTGTAGTTCTATTTAACGTCTTTCTTCATAACTTGGCTGATGCTGATGTCTGCCTATAAGCCCAGGACAAATTCTTTTCTTGCAAATCTCTCATGATCTTCTGGAATTACACTGAATTTTCATGGCAAAGCTCAGCAAATACTGCTTTGCAAGAAATGAAGAGGTGCTCGAGATAAGTTTTGGCCTGTATTTGTTGGAACCAAGATTGGTGATGTGCTTTACATATCACAAGATTCTTGCAAACAAAAGGAGCTATTTGTTATTGTGACCCAGAAAACAAGGAAAAGAATATTGACAAAAAGATGAACAAAAATAGTCTTAGAAAGCTTAAATAAAAGCTGGTGTGTTTGAACATGGTGGCATAGATGGGATTGTTGTCACTTGATGCTCCAAAGCATGAATTCATCCATGTCTCTTCATGGATAAGGAAGACTATAAAGACTGTAAAGCCCCAGGGATTACAAGTTTCCAGGCACAACTGAGCGAATCTCCCCCAGGGTCTCTCTGAATTGATTATTCTATACTTCAATCACAGAACCTAAAACAATAGCACCTTTCTTCCAGATGCCACAGGATAACACACTTGCTTAGGGATATTTATACATGGGTAAATTCACTCAATATAACTTTCCACAGTGTTTTTCTTAGCTGCCAAAGAAAAAACCATTTTAAACATCAAAAGATTTGTGTGCAATCCAGTTTGGTGAGAGGAAAGAAAGAAAAAGCACCAGCACTCCAGTCAGTGAAAGGTTCTGAAATCTTAAACTCTTAAAACTTGTTAAAGTTGTTCTTTCAAACTTTGGAATTTCAGATCCTATCTTCAAGAATATGCTGTCCTTGTAACATTCTCTCAAGACAGAGGAACTCTTGAGTCATAAGCTGAGGTCAATTGGAAAACTCTTGCTGAAGAATTAGATAGGGTTGAGTGATCCATCTTACTCATTAGTAAGCTTTTCGTTCATTTCTTTCCAGAACTTAGGGAAAAAAATGTTTGATATCACTCAGGCAGGTTTCACCAATTAAGTATTTTCAAACATTACCCTATGTTCAGATTTAAAAAACACATTTATGGAGGTAGTGTCAGCACACTTAGTTTTTTGTTTGTTTTTAAAAACAAAACCATCCTTGTGATTTCAGAGTAAAACTATGGATCAACTGAAAGGTGCTGTAATTGGAAAGAAAACTATAAGCAGATGACCACAAAAGCAAAATCCTAACTTCAATATTTGGTACACATCATTTACCCAAGCTGCTTGGGAGGTTGAGATCAGAAGGATCCCTATTGCAGGCCAGACCAGAAAAAATATGTTAATGAGACCGCCATCCCAACAGACAAATCTAGGTATGGTAGTGTAAACTGACATCCAACTACAGTAAGGTCTAAATTGGAACTGTAAGGTCTAAATTGGCCAAGGCAAAAAGCAGGATCCAGTCTCAAAATTAACCTGAACAAAAAGGCCAGGAAGCATGCTTCAGCCCTCTGTAGAGCCCCTGACTAGCAAGCATGAAGCACTGAGTTCAAACCACAATAGTGCCACCAAAGGAAAACAACAACAACAACAACAAAACAATTTTTTCACATGTTGAGACCTGTGGGCTACTTTTAAGACTTAGGTTATGTAAAAATTATAGGGGGTTCAGAGGATTAAGAATAAAAGTACAAACACACCTAAGCTGACGATTTGGAATCTTTAGTGCCTACTTACAAAAGTAACCCAGAGAATTAAGGCAATTAAATTGATCATATAAACCTTCCAAACCATTTCCCTGGTGTTTTAGTTGAATGTCATTGAGAGGATTTAACTGTCAGTAAATTGACTCAATTTGATTCATTGGAGTGTACACACAGAGAGCTGAATTCAGAAAGTTCTCAGTGTAGGTTCTTGATTTTGCTTCTTGTACCTCTGCAGTGAAGGCAATGGGTAATACTCTCTCAGTTGGCAAGAAGGCAAGCAGCATTTAGATTATATTTTCATAAAATTAAAACCTTGAATGGAGAGACCACAGAATTGAGATGTGTTTTTTAGAGAGCTTGCTGATTTAATCACTCAAAATTTTAAGCACTAAAACCATCTGATTAGAGCATAATTTGATACATTTTTTAATTAATGTTTTTTTATTGTGAAAATACCGAACAGAGGGGTTACAATTACATGAGCAAGGTAATGAGTACATTTCTTATCAAGCATTGTTGCCTCCTCCTTTGTTCCCCTTAAAATCCCTGCCCTCCCATCCCAAAGCCCCTGCCCCTGCCAAAGTTGTAAAGTTCATTTTTCAACATAACGTCTTGTACATTTCATTGTTGCAATGGGTCCACCTGTATCCCTATTCTGAGTATTGGCTGTTATTAATAATCTAATAGCCAACAAATGAAATAATATTAAATAAATAGTATTTTTCTGTAAATCTGGAGCAAGGTAAAAGAATGTATAGTAAAGATATTTTAGTTTGACTAATAAAACATAGCAAAAACATTGGCAATCAAAGCTAATCCAAATTATTATTAGCCTTTTGTTTTGTTTTTGTGAGTTTTTTTAGTGCTGGTACTGAGGCTTGAACTCAGAGCCTGGAAGATATTTTTTTAGCTTTCTTTGCTCAAAGCTATTGCTCTACTGCTTGAGCCACAGCTCTATTTCTGTTTTTTTGGTAGTTAACAGGAGAGTCTTGCAAACGTTCCTGTGTGGGCTGGCTCCAATGAGATGCAGAGCTCAACCTCCTGAGTAGCTAGGATTACATGTTTAAGTCACCAGTGACTGTCTTTAATCAAAATTATTAAAATATACATAAGGACATTTTTGCAAATCAGAGAGCTTTCTATAGACAAAAAATTTCAGTAAGATTTGCAGATGCAAACCTAAGAGTTGTTGTATTATCTATCATACCATTCCTGTTGAGCTATTCTGCTAAACAAGAATAATCATGATAGAGGCATTAAAATGTATTAGATAATTTGAACAGAACCTCTTGTCCAGCTAGTTTTATATGATGCTTAATCCCAGTCTTTACTTAAAGCAATTATGTATACAAAATTTCAGACTCCATGACAGGAAAACTTATTTTTCTACATGTTTTAGAGAAAGCTAGGATTTTGTATTGATACAATTCAAATGTTTCCTCCATTGTGCATACCATGTGTTTTCTAAGTTCCATTGCTATTTTTAAACATCATAAAATTGTGACTATTATCATCTAGTGAATAAGTAATTTTCATGTTCTTTAGAATGAGATCATTGAAATAATGAAAAATCATTTCGCTAGGATCCATTCATAGTGTAGTCAAGGGATAACTTTGGAGAAAGCTCTTGATTAAGAGCATCAAAACATCAAGTATTCATGAGACATGAAAATCAGCTCACTGCTAGTTTCATGACTCAAAACAAAAAAAAAAGAAGAGAATCTAAATAAAGCACTTAAAAAATAACAGGTACATGAGCTTGGATAGGTATACATTAAAAAAAAAAGCAAAGGATCTACTAAACACTCTTGTTAGCTTTTATGTTATGTTTTGAAGTTGCCCCCACCCCCAAAATGTCAAGTATTTTAATACCTCTATTTTTAAAATCATTAGCGAGATTCCATCTGATTTCTGTTTTTTTTGTTCCTTCTTTGCATTGGTCAAATCTTACTAATCATTGGAAGAGCAGCACAATTATTGTCTACTCCTCCAGTTCAGATAGAGCAAATTGCTTCCACCTCCGTGGCATCTGTCCTGGCAAATACTCTTCTTTATTAAACACATTAGACTGTGTCAGTTTAGCCCACTAACATCATCATTCTGTGTTTTGATGAGAGCCACATAGAAACAAGGACAGAACCTGGCATATGGCAAGTATTAATGAAAAGGAACAAAGGAAGAAAGAAAGGATTGCTGGAAAGAAAACATAAAGACCTGGACTTCATTTGCACTTCACAGCTAGCCAATCTAAGAGAAATAGGTCTTCCTCTTGATTGTCCTACTGTAAGCAAAGGACAGTGGTAACTCTTGCTTCCTAAGGTAGATTTGAGTACCTTCTGAGAACCTTCCAGATAGTTATTTCCTCTCATACTTTGGCAGAGCTGCTTGATATCTAAATAGGTTTTCCTCCAGATCAGAATGTAGACAAAGCAAAAAGAAACAAAAACCTAGGGCCAGTGGAGACAAAATATCCATGCCAAATATTAAAGAACAGGGGAAAAAAACAGTTTAAAAATCAACAGTATCAAAACAAAATAAAATGAGATTTTAAAAGGCATTGACAATGTTTAGTTCAACTTGTGATGAACTGAGATATTAATCCATGTGTATGATATATTATTACTTTGTTGGTTATCTATTAAGTTTTATGCATAGCATCATAATTTAGATCAATGTATTCTAGATATTTGATATGTTAGATGAGGTCTGCATTATATATATACATATGTGTGTATAAATTCTGTCTAGATGTATCTAATTTTATTTAAAAATTTTTTGAGATATTTTAGTTTTAGAGAGAC